CCCCACTCTGTCTCTGGTGAAGCCTCTTGCCACCCCTGAGCCTCTGGCCTGTACCCCAGTTCTGTAAGCACAAATAAATAAATCTTAAAAAAAAAAAAAGGATTTATTTATTTATGCATACAAAACTGGGGTACAGGCCAGAGGTACAGGGGCAGTAAGAAGGTTCACCAGAGACAGTGTGGGGAGAATAGTTAGACTGACAAAGAACACTACTGAGGGGTGCAGCGGGCAAGACAGGAGAGGTCTGCCATGACATGTGAGTCACCTCCCAGGGCAGGATTGAACTCCTGCTGAAAGTGGCTGTGGCCAGCTTCATAGTGCTGCGCTTTAACTTGTTGTGCCACCAGGAAGGGCCCTATTTTCCTTAAAGTGGATGAAATTTCAGCTTGTTTGTGCCAAACAAATGAACAAAACGGTTTATTTACTTTTCTTTTGTGAAACAACTGTTCTCATCATTTATAAAAAGTTGAGTGAAGCAATGTTCTCTCCAATCCTAAAATTAGCAATTTTGTATAGAAAGGAAAAAGGCTTTTATCATTGAAACCTACCTCTTTCTGTACTTGCTCAATTTGCTTTTTGGCATCAGCCAACTTCTCTTTCAGTTCAGCATATTCTTCTTCCTTTCTCTGAAGATCTGCTTTCAGATCCTGGGTTAGAGCAGAGCTTGCAGCGAGTTCTTCCTTTAATCTAAAATACACAAATTTTCTATATTGACACATCACTAACCACTTAGGATTTCTGTGTAAGGGATAGTAATCCACAAAATTATATCTTTTTATAACTTAGCAATGTTAACCCACGAATGAGAAAGTACTTCACAAGATTTTATGAACAGGTACTTGCATATAACTTTTGGTTCCAAAGACATATAAAACAGACATCGGGCCCTCCCTGTGGCGCAACGGGTTAAGCACAGCGCTATGAAGATATCGCAGCCACTGCATCACCAGTTTGTTCCCCAGCCAGAAGGGTGACCCACGTGGGGTGGCAGACCTCTCCTGACCCACCCATTGTTCCCCTCAGCAGCATATCAGTCCATCTGCCTGTCCTGCTCCCCACTGTCTCTGGTGAATCCTCTCTCCTCCCGCACCTCTGGCCTGTACCCCAGTTCTGTATGCATAAATAAATGAAACTTAAAAAAAAAAAAAGCATTCATCAACATATTACATTATGTCAATCTAAATAATTTAAAGAACATAGGAAATAGAAAAATCAAGTGTTTTGCATTTTTTAAAAAAGATTTATTTATTTATTCATATAGAACTGGGGTACAGGCTAGAGATGCGGAGGGTGAGAGGATTCACCAGAGACAGAGTGGGAAGCAGAACAGGCAGATCGACGAAGTACACTGCTGAGGGGAGCAGTGGGCAGGTCAGGAGAGGTCTGTCACGCCATGTGGACTCCTCCGGGCCAGGCGGAATTGAACTCATTCGGAAGAGGCTCAAGCTTCTTAGTGCTGTGCTTTAACCCGCTGCGCTACCAGGGAGGGCCGTTTTGCATATTTATTTTAAAAAGGATTTACTTACTTATTTATGCACACAAGAACTGGGGTACAGGCCTAAGGTGCGGTGGGGTGGGAGAGAATTCACCAGAGATAGCATGGTGATCTGCTGAATCAGGCAAGACTGACTGAAATACGCTGCTGAGGGGAGCAGTGGGCAGGACAAGTGAGGTCTGCCACACCATGAGGGTCACCTTCCTGGCTGGGGATTTCATCTCATGCCACAGGCAGCAGGCAGCTTCATAGTGCTGCACTTTAACACACTGTGCCACCAGGGAGGGTCCCTGTTTTGTATATTTGAAAAACATTTAACTTACTTTTTTGTTACTTGAAAGTGGGTTTCTTTTTCTTCTTCCTTTAATTGCAGCAAATGCTTTGTATTTTGCAAATGAACTGTTAACTGTGTGATTTCTTCTTTCATTTGGACTCCCTTTTCACTTAAATCTTTGGTGTTTTTGATAGAATCCTGAAGATCTGCTTCTAATTCCTTCAGGTTTCTTTCTAGCTTTAAGATCATAGATTCCTTCTCCAAAATTTCTTGTTCTAACTTGGGTAAGAGAATACATTCACCTTTCTGAGTTTCTAACATTGCTTCTAGTTCTTTTATTTTCACCTTGTAGCAAGTGACATCTTGTGAAAGCTCTGAAAATTCTCTCTTTCCTTCAACTACAAGCTGTGATTGAATTTCAAGACTAGCAATTTTTTCTTCCAATTCTTTCTTCAGCTGCTGTATATGACTTTCTTTTTCTTTCAGTAGGTTATCTTGATTGTTATTCTCCATTTCCTCTGCTTTTCGTCTGTTGTTTTCATCTTTATAGCTTTTTAATTCTGATTGTAATTTTTCAATTTGTTGTTCTAATTCTTTGATCTGATGAGTTTTTTTGGAGGAGGTCTTTACAATCTCTTTACATTCTTCCCAAATGGCTTCAATACTAGAGTGGAAAGAACTTTCCCTACTGAGTTCTTGAATATGATCATCTTTAACCTGCTTATTTGCCAAATCATCTTTATCTACAAGGTATGAATGTGTTCTGGGGGAATTATTCTCTTGAGAACTACTTGACAGTTCTCTAAGATCGAGCAAATCTATGTTTGAGAGTTGAAAAACTGAATCCAGCTTATGTAATTCATCTATTTTTGCTTGCATTAATTTTATTTTTGAAACATTACTTGTAATGTTTCTTCTAGCAATTTCTATCTCCTCTGATAATTTTAAGATCTTTTCCTGCTGTTCTTGATTTATACCCCTCTGTATATGTAATTCAGAAATTACATTGTCATAACTTGACTGAATTTGCTGGGCCTCTAAACGAAAAGTAACACTTTTTTTTTCAGAAAAAGAAAGTTCCTGCTGCAAACTAATAATCTGTTTGCTTAATTCTGCCTTTTCTCCCTTTTCATTTTTAAGTTCATTCTCAATAATGAGTAAGTGCGTTTTCAGCTCTTCATTATCTTCTTGTAAAGCTCTAATAGCTTTCCCATCTTCTGAAATTCTCTGTTGCACTTCTTCACTCTTTTCGTCTTCCATTATAGTTGGAGTAACATGCATAGGTACTTAAAAAATAAGAAAATTATTATTAATCTAAGAAATCTTAATAAAATCAAAAAGTTACCATACTAGCCAACATTAATACAAAGAAAATATATAAAAACAAATTTTAAATAGAAAACAGAACAGCTATGGTGAGGGCACATGTATAATCTGGTGATGGGAAATCCAAGGGGATTAAAACTGAGATGGAAAAATGCACAAAAATATGTAAAAATAAATTATCATAAAAAAACAGATAACAATGAACATTCGAAAAGATAAAAGAAAAGAAAAAAGAAAAACAGAGCAGTCTGTTGAGTAAAAAAGAAAAAACAGGTTGTAAAACTATGATGGTATAAGCTTTGTATGTGAAAATTAAAATTGCCAGTTAATGTGAAGAGCAAAGAGATCAAATGTGATAGGAGCTTCTGAAGTAGGGTTACCAGTTATTTCTACTTCTTAAAAGTGACTTTTTATATCATTCAAATTTTCTTTTTTTAAAGATTTATTTACTTATGCATATAGAACTGGGGTAAAGGCCAGAGGTGCAGGAGCGAGAGGATTCCCTGGAGATAGTGGGGAGCAGAACAGGCAGATCGACGAAGTACACTGCTGAGGGGAGCAGCGGGAGGGTCAGGAGAGGTCTGCCGTGTCATTTGGGTCACCTCTGGGGCAGGTGGGGATTGAACTTAAGCTCAAGTGGTTTTAGCCTCTTAGTGCTGCGCACCTGCTGCACCCCAAGGGGGAGCCCAATATTCACATTTTTTATGATTGAGTATGTGATTTCTATAGTGTCTATTTAGAAATAACCACAATGTTGTGAACTTAAGGAGAAAAAACTTTTTATTAAGTTATTTAAACTTATTAAAATCTACCCATATCCAAATTTTTCTTTGTGTTAAAAAGTATAGTTTTAACAGTCAAATTTGTGAATAGGTTACCCTTGGGATTAGTCACACTGTGTAGATCACTTACTTCTGACCACTTCTATTTCCTAGTGATTTATTGATCTTACATCCCCAATTACTTTATGGCACTAACCAAAGTGAAAGAGAGGAACAGTGCTCGGAAATCACAGCAGTTATTCTTCCAGTAGTTGAAGTACACTTTTCAATGGTAAGAAAAGGTTGATGATGCATATTAAGTTTGTTAGCGAGCACATACTTTGTATAGCCTATAAACAAGCATGCAATGACACCCTGTATATCTGTGTCAGTAGAGATAACATGGGTTTATAATCGTGCACGTTGTTTTAGGAGGGCAGATTCATACCTCTCCAAATACATATCACCACTGTATTATTCTTTAAGGCATCTGCTTTTGAAAACATTCATTTCATTGGGATTCTATGAGAATTTATTATGTTGGTATACTACTTGGCTCTTGAGAAAGTCAGAAATCAGAAAGCATTTTTATTTCATTAATGATGAAAACATCAATTTTTCTCAAGCAGCAAGTTAGGTTTTATAAAGCTAATGAATATATTCTCTATAGAAACCTTTTCCTCCTGTTATATTATAAATGTTTTCTAAAAGAAAAAGAACACAAAAAATTGACATGTTCTTTCACATAAATAGGAAGTTTTAGTATCAAATAAGCATGTATCTCCCTGCCCTCAACTTTCCAGTAGTTCTCTAGTTAACTCCTGTACTAAGGACACCTATTGTTTTCTTGATACACATATAAAGGAGACAAAGGAAATAAAGAAAACAATATGGAGAGATTTGGGCAGAGACAGGTAATACAATTATGAAAATGAAAGTGTTGAGTTTTAAATATTGCAAGCACAGTAGTAAAAGGATAACAACATGCAAAACTGACAGAAGTATAGTATCTAAAAAATTATTACAATAAAGGTAGCTTTCAGAAAGAGAAAGAAAAATACCGGATGGTTTCACTCATAGCAGGA